GCAGGGAAGACTTGGGGGGGACCCAGGGCATCCCAGGGGCACTGAGGATAACCAGAGCGGGGTGGGGGTGGGGGCTGACTCAGCCGCTGAGGACTGTGGGAATCGGAGTGGGGTCAGGGAGGCTGTGGAATGATGGGATGCGGTTGTCATGGCAATGCAGGTAGTGGCACGGGCTTATGGGGGCGTGGGGAGTAGGCAAGGTGGTTGCCAGGCGCTGTGGGTAGTGGGCTGCGGTGAGTGACGGCTCCCGCTGCCTGGGTGCTGTGGGTCGCGGGTGCCTGCCGGGGAGTCGTGGTTAACAGAATGTGGTTTCCCACGGCGGGTCTGTGGGCACTAGACGGTGGTTGCCTCATCGCTGTGGGGAATGGATTGTGGTTGCACGGCATGACTGGTAGCGAAATGCGGTTGTCATGGCAACAGGGCCTCGTGGAATGGAGTTCCGTGGCCCTGGGTGGTGGCCACAGGCAGGTCCGGGCCGGCCGGGGCGTGCGGGGCAGGACTGTCAGTTACAGTCAGTTGCTGGGGTATCCTGTGCGACGGGCTTTGGCTGCAGGGAACTGGGGTGTGGGCGCCCTGTGGTGGAAGGCGGTTGCCATGGCAATGTAGCGGGGAGATGGCAGTTGCCACGTTACCGTGGATAACAGAACCGGTCTGCCATTCCGCCGTGGGTAAGGGGATGTGGCCGCTCAGCCCGGCAGTGACAGAGCGTGGCTGCGCGGGTCCTGTGGGCGGCAGAAAGGGGTTGCCACAGCACGGTGGGTAATGCCACGCGGTTGCCATGGCATTCTGGGGAGCAGAGTGTGGTTGTTATGGTGGCCGGCTAGGAGGCCAGTGGCCAGGGCCGGTGGGCATGCTGGCACTGTGGGCAGGGTAGGGTCAGGCCCCGGATCACGGCCGCTCACCCAGTCTCGAGAGCAGGCGAGCTGAGGGCGGGGGGCTGAGCCACCCCATCCCCAGGGGTGCGTCGCCACCAGGGGTCCCGATGCCCCCCCTAACTGCTTCCCTGTCCCTCGGCCCCCAGGACACCCCTCGTGTTTACAGTTCACCGTGAACATGACCGCGGCCGTGCGGACCTACCGCTGGCAGTGCATCGAGTGCAAGTCCTGCAGCCTGTGCGGCACCTCGGAGAACGACGTGAGTGCCCCGGGCCGCGCCCTGCCGGCCTCCCGCCCGCACCTCCACCCCGGAGCCCCTCCCTGCGGGCGCTGTCAGTGTCCGTTAATTGACCCCGGCACTTAATTTCTCTTCATCTTTCTGACTCCTCCCAAGCACCCTCTGAGGTAGGCGTGCGCGTCCCTGACACACTGAGAAGAAACTGAGCTCAGGGAGGGGAAATGACTGGCCCAAGATCACCCCGCTAGGCCCAAACCCACGGCCACTGCCCCCAGAGCTGGTATCAGACCACCTTAGAGCCCGCTGGTGTCCAGACAAGCTCACAGACCCCGTCTGCAGACACAGACCCAGGCCACAGGGTGTCTGCTGGGCCAGGCAGGGCTTTGCAAAGGCTCCGCGATGCAAAGCTCCTTCCTGAGCCCTCGCTCATAAAGGGTCCACCCCCCCAGCCCCTTGGACGAAGCCCCTGCCCCAGCCCCCCCACCCCGGTTTCTGGTGCCCCGTACCCCCAGGGTGCCAGCTGGGTGGGTCTCACCCCCCAGGACCAGCTGCTGTTTTGTGACGACTGCGATCGGGGTTACCACATGTACTGCCTGAGTCCCCCCATGGCGGAGCCCCCAGAAGGTGAGTGAAGGGGTGGGCGTGACATGGGGTGGGGCTGGCGCTGCCCTTCCCAGGTTAGGCCTGACTCCCTGCCTCTGGCACCTCCACAGGGAGCTGGAGTTGTCACCTGTGTCTTCGGCACCTGAAAGAGAAGGCCTCTGCCTACATCACCCTCACCTAGGCCTGGCTCTGCTCGCCTGGACCTCTGGGGTGGTGCTGCCTGCCTGCCGCTCGGAGCTCTCCTTTCTCCACCCTCGTGCCCTGCAGTGGCAGGGGAGGGGGCGCCCAAGAGGGGCTGGGGCACCCTCTTTCCTCTGTGCAAGTGGAATGTCTGCCCTGTGGGCTGGTGGCCCCGCAGGGCCCCTCTCCCCCCCTCCTTCCCCATACCTTGGCAAATGGGCACCAGGGGCTTCTGCTCCCCTCAAAGCCATACCCCGCCTCTGGGCGGTCACGAGGGGTGGTGGATGCCAGCCGGGAGCATGGACACAGCCTTTTTCTAAAGAAAAAGTCAAAAAGTTAAAAAAAAAAAAAAAAGAAATTAATATATACAGAGAGTCCTATAAGGCCAGCTGGGTGAAGGGGGCACCGCTGAGGCGTCTGCAGGCACCGGGGCACCATCTCCGCCAGCTTCCAGGCTGGTGCCCCCACCCTGTTTCTGGAGTTGCAGCCAGCTGTCCCACCTCCCCACCCGAGGTGGGCACCACCCCCTGTGCCCAGGGCAGGGGGGCGGGGGTCCACCCCTCACCCCCTCTCGGTGCCCCGGATACTGCATGATTGAACCATGGTTTTGAACTCTGTTCCTGCTCCCTCCCCGGAGCCCTGCCCGCGCCTGGCCTGCCATGCTGGCGGCTGGGCTGGTGGGGCTAGGCGGGCCCTGCCCGGGGCCTGCTGGAATGAGAAGCACAGACTCTGCGATGGACTCGTTTTTCCCTTCTCCCCCCCACCCCAATTCCCCACCGGCCAGGCCGGGCTCCTCCTGCCACCCTCGCTGGCCATTTTGGGGGCAGCGAGGGGGCGCGGTTGTTTCTTGTGGTTGTGTGTGTTTGTTGTTGGGTTTAAAAAAAAGGGAAATTGAGACTGCAAGTGGGGGAGGTGGCGGGCTTGGGGGTCCCCCCCAGTCCAGGCGTACCCCCCCTTGTAGAAGAGTCTCCTTTATTGCCTGCCTCTGCTGTGAATTAACTTGTTCTGTGTATTAAACTGGGCCTGACCCCTCTGCCTGTGACTGCCTCATTCTCCAGGCCGGTTTGGGGCGTCACCAAGAAGGGGATATGGGGCCTCTTTGGGGAAGCAACTGAGGTTAACAGCTGGAGCCGGCCCCTACCTCCGCGTCCCTCCCCCCCTGCCCCTGCACCCCGCCTTTCTCTGGCTTTGTCCCAGCTCCTCCTTGCCTCACTGGAAAGAAGGGGGATGGGGTGGAGGGGGCTCCCACCCAGCCAGCTGTGGTTGCCCTGGCAACGGCCTGCTGCAGCTGCAGCGGGAAGCAGTGAGGAGGGAGGCGGGAGCTGGGGGCTGGGGGAAGGGAAGGGATGGAAGGATAAGGAGGCCCCTCCGGCCTGGGGCGGGGAGCAGGCCCCGGGAGCACCTTCTCCTCAGCCAGGGGACGCTACCTGGAGCTCATGTCCCTGGCCTTGGGCAGGGTGGAGGGAAGGGAGGAGAGGAGAGGAAAGGTCGAGACCTGGGGACACTGACAGAGACTGAGCTCTGGGTGAGGTGGGCTGAGGAAGGAGCGAGAACCAGGACACAGCTCAGGAGAGAAACATCATGAGAGTCACAAATTGAGAGGATGGGGCGGGGAGGCGCAAGAGCAGGGCAGCAAACTGATCTGGAGAGAGATGTGGATGAGAGCCCCAGGAATAATGGGGGGTGGGAAGGAGAGCCAGATTGGGGCAAACAGAAGGGAGATTTAGTGGGAGAGAAGACACGACAGTCATGAGAGACAGCAGACACCGGAGAGGAGCAGCCCGTGGCTTGGAGAGATGTGAGGAGGCAGAGCCAGGGTGGGTGGGACATTTTTGGGAAAGGGGTACAGTCAGAATCCAGCCAGTCCAGGTCCCAGAAGCACACCACACTGAGACAGACAGGGCTCCCGGGAGAGGACACCAAGGATTTGGGGGGACAGTAGAAATGTCTGGAGAGAGGCAAAGGTTTGGGACTGGGAAGGGTTGGGTGAGGAGAGAACTGGGAAGAGGAAGGAGGCGGCCTTGGGGGAGGGGCGGGGCGCCAGAGGGCGCGAGAAGGGGTCGGGCCAAGGGAGCTGGAAACTGGGGCAAGGTGGGGACAGACCGCAGGGCACAGCGCAGGCGACACCTGGGGCGGGCGTGCCGTGGTGGGGTGTTGGAAGTTGGTGTGTGTCACAGGCGCCAGGAGAGGATGTGAGAACAGCTTGTTCTGTCGTTTCTGTGCTGGTGGGGGGAGGGCAGTGCGAGCTGAGGATGGGGCCTCAGCGGGGCAGAGACAGGGAGTGTCTGGAACACTCTAGAATTTTTGGGAGATGTGGAACTATCTGGTCCAGCTCCTCTGGAAAAAGAATATACATCCATTTTGGAAAAAAGATTTTTTTCTGCGTGTGTGTGTGTGTGTGTGTGTGTGTGTGGGGTGTGAATCAGAGAAACATCAGGATTTAGAGCAAAGATGGAAAACTCACAGGTAGATGGGTGAGGTAGGCCCAGGAAGACCCCACAAGAGGCAGGGCCTTGGGGTTTTCAGGTGGAATGCTGAGATTTAGAAAACCAGTTTGACCCTGAGCCCTGGGTCAAATAGCAAGAGGTTACCATGTCAGGGCTTTGGGACACCATCCCAGCTAGGAGAGCCCCTAGGGGAGGGGCCGGCCCCAAAACACCTTAAAAAAGGGCTAGGGAGGAGGCAGCAGAGGACGGCAGGATCCAGAGCCAGCTCAGGAGGGTGTGGCCTGGGGGTGTGCCAGGCCTGGGGCCCCTCAGTTGAGTTTTGCTGTGAAGGGCAGTTCACCAAGCTGGAAAACTGGCTTTCTTCATGGACAACCTCCAGATTTTCCCAAGTTGACCGCTAATTCTAAAACCAACACAACTCTGGGGGTCTGGCTGTCAGGCATCCAGCGTGTGACTGATGAGGGAGAATTTTCCTCTCGTTTTCACTGATGGACATTTTACATTTTGAGCGTTGAATTCCTGTCATTTGGGTTTCAAGAAAAGGAAGTTTGCAAGGCTGGATCTTAGGGAAGTTGGGGTGTGTGTGGGGGGCAGTGATGGTGTTTGGGGCAAGGAAGACGGGAGGGCCCCTCTCCCCCAACTGGAATACACCCTCTCCTCAGTCGCTCCCGGCTGCTGCCCAGCTAGTGAATGCACAAGCCATTTCTATGAAACATTTATTTCCTTTGAAACCTCCAGAAACATGCCAGAAAATCTCAAGACGGGGATAGAAAAAAAAAAAAAGACAATAAAGAATAAAAAAATCCAAATGAAATCAACATATGAAAAAAACCCTGCTGCTATCTTCAGTCATCAGACAGAATACCAACCTCAAATTAAATAAATTGGATTTGTTTTGCAGAGATCTTTAAAAAAATAACAGAAAACAAAACCAAAAAATCATAATTTACACTTGTTAATGTACATGATTAGGTCCCCAAAATGATTCGAATGATGTGAAGATATAAGACAACTTAAAAAAGGGCGAGGGAGGGTAGGCTCCAGATTTTAGGGTCTGAGGTGAGGGGGATGGTCCTGGAGAACCTTCTGGAAAGGGGATCCAGGAAGAGGGGTGGAGACATCACAGTAGTTGGCCAGGGCTGAGGACCAGGCAGGCCCCACCCCGCTGCCCCCATCTCACCACTTGAGTGAGGAGCAGGAGGTGGCCGAGCCGAGGGCTCTTCTCACGGGACTACAGTGCTGCCGGCCGGGGGGGACGCGGCGAGCCCCCTCCTCTTACTCCCAGAGTGCCTGTGTCCTGTCCAGAGTCCCCTTCCCTGAGGTTTCTGGCCCCAAAGAGAAGGCAATAAGGTCTCTGGACAAGGCCCGGGCTGCCTGGCGCTGGCTCCCGGCCAGAGGGCGCGGCTCTGAGCCAGGCTGCCTGTGCCAACGCCACGGCCTGGTGCCTCCCCCAGCGGGGGCTGGCCGGGCCCACCCTGACTCCGTCCCTCCAAACTGTTCCTTCTGAGTCCTCCCGCCGGGCCCCAGCCCCCGGGGGACAGGCCTCGATCCTCAGCTTGAGGTTGAGGGAATCCACAGGCTGTGGCCATACAGACTTGTTCTGGCGCAACTCTACATGAAAAAATAAATATATATATATATATTTTTGTTTGTTTGTTTTTAAAGGAAAAAAAAGAAACTCTTGTTTCCTGGGCGAACAGCGTAGTACCACACCGGCCTGGCTGCCTGGCAAGCTGCCCCTTATTGCCTTTAGAGAACCAGCGTCTCGCGGGGGGTTTGCACAGCGAGGTGCTCCCCGGGAGCACAGGGGGTGTCCCACGCCGCCGCTGCGGGGCCTGCAAGATGGGCCGAGAGACTTGCAAAGGAAAGACAAAAGCAGAAGAGATGAAGGCTGTTTCTCTGGCCCTGACCAGAGGGCTCCGCGGAGCCCCCTCCCGGGCCGGAGGAGGCCAGGCCGAGTTGTGGGGCTGCAGCGGGGAGGAGGCGGCGGCTGCCTGGGCCGGGCGGGTCAGTCGCTTGAAGGTGGCGGGGTCCAGGCACCGCGGCCTCTGCCAGGAAAAGACTGCAAAATGGTCCCGAGTGTGCAAATCATGTCCCTCTCAGGATGTTGCCTCTGGATGCTGGGCTTTCCTCTCTCCGTCCTGGGATCCCCAGGAAAAGAACTGAAACTCTACGAAAGTGCTCCTGGTCGCTTTGTGGAGGGACAGGATGGGAAGGGGATAACGTTCGTGCTTTTTGGAGCTAGCGTGCACCAGGGACCTGGGGCTCAGGCCCCATTCCACACGGCCCTCACTCTCTGGGGCGTGGGGGGAGACGTGATTTTTCATGCAGGGGGCATGGCCTCACCAGCCCAAAGGCTGCTGACGCGGTGAGGAGACCTGGTCTGTGAACTCCTGGAGTTGTGGGGTTGGAGGCTCGATCCTGCCCTCCCCTGGCCTTCCTACAGCTTCTGATGGCTTTTGGTCCTAGGAAGAGACTCCGCGGGGACGGCAGGGCCCCCGAGGGGGTGTGGGCACAGCCCGGCCCCCAGGAGCCCGGATGAGCAGCTCAGAGGAAGACCTGAGACCACGTTGCCGCCCTGGGGCCGGAGGACTGAGAGCAGACCTGGCTCCTGGAAGGCCTCCCTCTGGTCCCCCTGCCCTGGGCGCGTCCGTGTCGTGGGGAAGGCGGCGGCGGGGCCCTGGCTGGATCAGCTTGGTCACACCTGCCACAGAGAGCCGAGTAGGGAGAGAGGAGAGTAAGACCCAGCCTGCCAGGGTGGAAGGGCCGGGGTGCAGAGTCCTCTCCCCCTCAGAGTTCCTTCTTCTCCCGGCAGAAGATCTCGGCGAACTTGCGCAGCTGCTCACTGGCGGCCTGCGACTCCTCCTGCAGGCGCTGGTTGTTCTGCCGCAGGCTGGCCACCTCCGACTGCAGCACGGCCTTGTCCTGCTTCTCCTGTGGGGCGGGGCCGGGCGTCAGCGGGCGCAGGGCAGGGCCTCCCAGGCCCCGCTCGGCCACCACTTGGATCTCGTCCCAGCTCAGCCTCTCCACAGCTGAGTGACCTCGGGCAAGACCCATCCTCAAGCCTCGTTTCCTCAACTCTAAATGGGGTGGCGAGAGGTTTCCCTGGGGTCACGTACGTGGAGCTCACTGAACACAGCCTGACACGGAGCAACATGGACAAACATCACTGTCACTCCTCGCCGTGCGTCCCCCTCATAGCCACCTGAGGACACGGGGACCGTCAGCCCAAGCCACGCACGGCCGTCAGGGAGCTGGGGTGTGCGGGGGGCAGCCCAGGCAGGCTCCACTGCCCGTCTGGGACGCTGTTCCAAGGTAACAGCACATCTGAAGGCGGTGACTTGTCCAAGGCCACAGAACATGAGTGGTGGGTGGGCCTGGGCTCGAGACTGACACGCTGAACTCTGCCACCGTTTTACTCAAAAGTAGATAAAGCAACACATCGGAGCCTCGTCCGCCCTATTTCTTCTCACTTTTCCATACTCTGGAGATGAGCACATGGAACAATTTGGAATGTCGCCTCCTGGAGGAATGTCTCCCTCTGTCCCGTGGCTGGGCAACAATTTTTTTTTAACTTGGATGCGCTAGGAAACAGTTTTGCAGTTTGCTTAGTTAACTAAAGTGACTGTGCTTCTGTGAGGAGACATACAGATTTCAGTTGCTATTTTAACTGGCTGCAGAACCTCCTGCGGGATGGGCGCCCCACGTTTCCTCGCCATGTCCTGCGGGGGCCGCAGCACTGGCCCCAAATGTTCTAGCCCACAGTGCAGCAGTGCACACCCCTGCGCTTGGCCTCTCTGAGCTCACACTCAACACCCTGTCAGGTTCCCACAGGCGGGACTGCTGGGTCAGCAGAGCACACAATCACATTTTTGATAAATAATGTCCAACCGCCCCCTAAGAAGGTCAGTCCAATTTATTCTCCCTCCAAGACTGTGTGAGACTGTGCTGCCTGCTCAGCTGTCAGGGTCACTCTTTCCTCGGGACTACGTTCAGAGCTGGGTGGGCACCCCTGGCGTGGAGGGGTGGGTGGGTGGGTGGGGCGGGGTGGGCCCGCGGGCAGGGGCAGGCGCGGGTTGCATGAGGTGGCTGCCCGGTCGTCTTACCTTCTGCAGGTCCGTGTGCAGCTGTTTCAGCATCACTTCGAGCTGGTACACCTTGCCTGTCAGGTCCAGGGGGGGCTCCTCGCTGCAGGGCAGAGGACAGTGTTAGGCCCAAGGTCAGCCTGGCCCTGGGGAGGCCAACAGCTGGGCCCCTCTCCTCCCTGAGGTTGGGGGCGCCCTGTTCTAGCTGAGGCCGGAGGGCGGCTGGAGGAGCAGCTCCAGGGGAGGCCAGAGTCAGCCTCTTCCCAGCCACCCCCACCCAGCGAGGGCACATCTCTAGATGAAGATGGGGGTTGAAGGCTGTGTCTGATGACCCTGAAGTATGTCCCCCTGCAATCCCCAAGATGGAGCATGTGTGGGCTTTAGGGAGAACCTCCCCCCAGGTATGATCACCTGGCTTGGCACAGATGTCTGCACACCTGGTGGCTTCAGCATACGAAGCTCTGCCTGGGAGCTCACCAGTCGGCACCCACTGCTCTGAGGGGAAAGCCCGGCCCAGGCAGGCCACTGCACCCAGGACCCCACCTGTGACCCTGGGGCCTGCGCTGCAGGGAGTGTGCCCAGAGGTCACAGGTGCCACCTCTTTCACATCCACCCTGTTCCTGGCCTCACTGTGGTGGTGCCTAGTGTGTCACCTCGTTGGTGGGAACTGAGTTCTTTTTTTGGTCCAGATTTTATTTTTGCATAGAAGAACTGGGGTACAAATCAGAGGTGCGGGGGTGAGAGGATTCACCAGAGACAGAGTAGGGAGCAGAACAGGCAGATCTACTGAAATACACTGCTGAGGGGAGCAGCGGGCGAGACAGGAGAGGTCTGCTGCACCACGTGGGTAGCTCCCTGGCTGGGGATTGAAATCGGGCCGTCGTGGTGGCCATCGCAGTGATAGCACTGAGACTTAACCCCTAGACCACCAGGGAAGCCCAGGAGTTGAGTTCTAAGGTGTGAAAGAGTCAAAATTGTGGAAGAGGTCAAAATTCCTAAGTCAGGAAGAGTCAAAATTGCCCTTGGACACTGCTCCAAGCGCCCGTGAGGCAGCCCCGGTGTCTAGCACTGCCTCCTCTTCCCTCCCCGGGAAGCGGCGTGAGGGTGCGGCTTGGGCTTCAGTCACCGCTGGGCCCTGACAGCCCAGCATGGGACCCGGCATCGAAGAGGCCAAGAGTAAATGTGGGCCTCCCCTGGGGGCGCAGCGGTTGAGCGCTGGGCTGCAAGGCTGCCTGCAGCCTTTGCAGCGCTGGTTCGTTCCCCGGCTGCCGGCGAGGGTCCCACAGAAAAAAAAAAAAGAGTAAATGCCAGGTGAACATCTACCTGACAAAGGAGAGGAGCCCCAGGAGCAAACACAGGGGAGGTTGAGGCAGCGACCGGGGTGGGGGGTGAGGGACCGGGAAGTGGAACAACTGTTAAGTGCTGACTCTGATGTCACCTCCAGCTGACTGCAGGGACGGGCTGACTGTGGCTCCATCACAGCAGGGTGATTGCACTGCACCCCCTTATCTGCTAGGGGGGATCCATCCCAAGACCCCCAGTGCGTATCTGAGACCAAGGGAGGTACCGAGACTTGCCTGCGCGCTGTCTGTCCCTAACCACACAGCACGATGGTGAGCCTGACCGGTGAGTCAGGCAGGGGGAGATGCACAATAATAACCGATAGCAAAATAGAACAGGCACTAGACTGTAATCAAAGTGGGGTGAACGCGGCCCCTCTCTCTTCCTCTCTCTCTCAAAATATCTTATCGTCCGTAACATTTTTACCTTGGTTAAAAAGCTGCGGAAACCGAGGCTGCAGATGGGGGGTGGGGTGTGGGGTGGGTGGGGTGTGTCTAGTGTCTTCCCAAGCCTGCCAGGTCAGAGCTGACCTGCGGCAGCTGTCTCCGGGCCCGCTGTCCCTCTTTCATCACCCAGGCCCATCCCCCGCAGGGACTCGGGTTGCGGGGGCCCTGGGTGTTCCCAGAGAAACCTCACCTCATGGTAGGGGTGGTCCTGGGGGTCGGGGGCCCCCTCTCTAGGCTCAGGCGGCTGTGGACGGGGCTGTGTGCAGGCGGGGTGTCCGGGCTCAGCGCTGGGTCATTGAGAGAGAAGAGCGAGACAGCTCTTTGCACTGCCAGGAAATAATTTTAGATCAAGACTGAAATTTTAGATTTAGAGGGGAGGGGTGCGGGGTCAGCAAGGCTCCTGGCTCCTCCTCACACCTCCCCCCACCCCCGCACCCCTCAAGTGACTCCCCATACTTCTCCTAACAAACTTCTTGCAAACCCCCCATACCTCCAGGCCATTCCCAGCCACCGTTTTGCCAGCTCACACCTGCATTCAGGGAGGGTCCTCGCCAAAACCCACCCACAGGGACACAAACAAACCCCACCCTGTTTCCAATCAAGCCTCTAGAGCCAACGGCCGGTTTATACAAAATTCAGAGGCTCAAGAAACAAGTTAAATGACAAATTAAATGTGAGGAAGAAGCCACCCAAATTCAGCATCAATGACCTGGTTTCAGCAACAAATAAATGTTATTTAAAAAAAAGGGCCCAAGTGGAGGGGGCGGCTGCTGGGTGGTGAGCACACGGGGGTTGATTATACTCTACGTCTAAGAACGCTTGTGAAATCGCCAAAGCAAAAAGAGACGTGACACAGACCATCACGCATACTGAAGGGAAAAGAAATGAGATTCCTGGGTCCCACCCTAGACAGGGTCTGCTCAGGGGCTGAGGAGTGGCAGGTGAAATTTCTAGAATGGCCAGAAGTGGCCACAGCCCCGAGGCCTCAGAGGGCGGCTGGTTCAGTGGCCCTGGGACAGCCAGACTGTGGACACTCAGGAGGCAGCAAGAAGGAGGGGCGTGTGTGCCCTACAGGGAGAGGGCACGGGGTTGGGGGGTGGGTCGGCCAGCACCAGGGGGCTCTGGATTCAGCTTGTCACCCAACCCTTCTGTGTTTAAACAATAGCACAGGGCACCACGACTGTGACGCTCTTCCCTTAGGCCCACCAGCCACCCATTAATGTTCTGCCACATTTACTTTCCCTCCTGATCTGTGTGTTTTCTCCCTGGCCATTTGAGAGCAAACTGTCACCATCGTGGTATTTCACCTGTACACACTTCAGGTCACTTCTCCAAAAGATAAGGCCACCCTCCAGCACCGTCACACCACACTGTTGCATGGCGTCGCACGGCGTTCCTGCCTAGCAGGCATCATCCTGAACTCCCCCCAGTTCTCTGGTAATATCCCTGAGAGCTTTCTATCTTGGATCCAATACTGATTCTCGCTGAAAATGTGGGGCTATGAACAGTTGCAAAAATGCCCTAAAGCAGAGAGAAAAGTGTCCCCCATCCTCTGAGCCCATCGCCGGTTTCAACAATTTCCAACACTCTCTGGTCACCTCGCAGGCTCACCCTTTGCTTTTTAAACTTTTAATTCCCCAGTGACTCCTCTCCTTTAGTTACAATCAAAAACCAAGACCTAAACTGAGGCTGCACAGACAGTCCTGACATGTGAGTCCATGCCTGGGCTGTCCTGCCTGCCCTCGGGGGCTCCTGGGGCCTGTCCCCCTCCCTCCTTCCCTTCAAAAGCACCTCACTTTGAAAGAATTTTAGATTTCAGCAGAGTTACACAGACAACACGGAGTGCTCCCGATCCCCTTCACCCGGCCTCCCAGCCTTCACCTCTTACATCACCAGGACACGAAGAACAAAGAAACGAGCCCTGGCTCCGAGAAGTAACCAAACTGCACACTTGAAACCGCACCCTTGAGCTGGATTTCGCGCGAGGTGCCAGAGACTGGTAGCCGGCCGGTTGCTCGGCTCTGGGGCTGCCTGCGCTGGCCCATTTTCTCTTTCCAAACTCAGTTAGCGGGGGACACGCTGCAGCCCAGTCCCAGGAGAGGGGCTTAAGCTCCACCTCCTGGAGGGACTCGCATGAAAGAATCTGTGGCGCGCACAGAAATTCGTAACTATTTTGGGGCGAAGCTTCGAGGCTATGTAAATATCCTGCTTCTGCTCTGTTTCCCGTTTTAGCAGGCATCAGCGATTCCACTGTGCTGCTCTGCTGACATCTTCTCTGTCCCTCGTTTCTTGTAGATTTATTAACGGAATCCTCCTGTAGGAGGGTCATACTATGGCTATTTGCTACTCCTGCCACTGGCAGCATCTGGAGCTCAGAGAGGCCCGGGGCCTGCCTCCCAGTGGCCAGCGTCCCAGCAGCTTGGATACCCAGGGGCGAGGAGACGGTCGGGGCCCCAGCACTCTCCCTGCGTTCCCTGCATCCCCATCAGAGAGAGCACTCTGGGATGTGGGACAAAAGAATAGTTACATGTGGTTCTCTGCCCCGGGGTCTGGCACAGGCCTCCTGAGGTTGTCATTTCTGGAGTTGTAAGGGGAGTAGGCACATCGGGCACCTCTTGCTCTATGAGGTCACTCCGGGTAGGATCCTGGGCAGTCCCCAAGCCACGGCGACCAGAAGCCTGGAATTTTTAGCCCGACCCCAACCTCCAGAGAGGGGAGAGGGGCTAGAGTTAATAAGGAGTTAATGAATGATCGTGGGAGTCTCCATAAAACCCCTGATAGTAGGGGGTTCGGAGGGCTTCCAGGCCGGAGGGTGATGCCCCCCAGCTCTACAGGGAGAGAAGATCCTGCCCTCAGGACCCTCCCATAGCTCGCGCCATCTCTTCACCTGGCTGCTCATCCATATTCTTCATCACACCCTTTAATTAGCTGGTGTGTTTCCCTGAGTTCTGTGAGCTGTTTGAGGGCTGTGGGGGTCTAGGGGTGTCTGATCCAGACTAGGAGATACTCCTTGCTGGAGGATGGACAGCAAAGCTGTGGCCTGAGGACGAAAAAATGAACCAGAAGAGCATGTTTGTGTCTATCAGAGATCACTGTGATCTCACCAGAGATCCCATTTTACAGACCAGGAAACTGAGGCTTAGAAAGGTTAAAAAGCCACTTTCTCAAGACCCCAAGGGAAGGAGGCAGAGACTGCTAGCTGTCACTTGTAATCTGCTTTTTCTTTCCTGCAATGACAAATCCCAAATTTTAGCTAGACATGAGGCCTCGCTCACTTCCCAGTCTGCCTTGCGGCTGGGTGTGGCCTTATGTGAAATAAGCACGGGAGCCTGAGACTTCGGCAAGTGTCCTTAAAGGGAGGCAGGAGTGGGGTGGGGGTGCCCTGCTCCCTCCTGCTGGTCAGAATTGGACCTGATGGCCAGGACGCCAGCATTTTCCCCGGAAATGGCGGAGTCAAAGGTGCAACCAGCCCAGGTGCCAGAGTTCATGAAGTACCACCCAGGCTGCCTCGCCCAGAAGTCTGACCCGCAGAAAGCCTTTGTGTGCTTTCTGCCACCTGAGGCCACAGGGGTTCTCATGACACTTTGGGTTGCGACAACTTTGTCTGCAATGGTGTACCAGATGCCATGTGTTCAGCGGCCTGTGGCCTGTGCTGACGTGTTTCCCACACAGCATTTCCCATAATCCTCACTGCAGCTCCCGGCGGCGGCAGACGGGTCACGTCCATTGCGTAGGCAAGGTAATGGAGTCAGGGGGACAACCAATGCCCGGGATGCATGGAGAGCAAGCGACACGCGCCTGGTTCTGAACTGGAGCCCCGAGACCCTTTGCTGTTGTTTCGGGAACAGAGCAAGCGGCTGGGAAGGCGCCTACCTTCGTAGGCCTTGGCCGCATTCACCAGGCTGGACCACTCGAGGCCAGCAGCCGTGTCGGGCAGGGGCATCATCCCCGGGTCCAGGCGCCGCAGGGGCCGGTCCCGCCCGTCAGCCAGTGAGAGTTCCGAGGCAGAGATGGTGGCTGGGTGGGGAGAGCAGATATGGGCGAGAATGACAATGTGGGAGAAACAAAGAAATTATTCCATTTTACTTTATATATAATTATATAACATTACTTATAATCAAAGCAGCATATCCTGTTTATTAGAAGATGATACGACGTGCCAGGGGAGACATCTGGCAGGGTATGGGTGTTTACCTGGGTGCTAGAGGAGGCCTCGAGGCAAAGATGATGTCTGAAAGGAGGCTGGGAGGGGGCCGGGGGCTTAGAGGGAGTGACGGAGGGGATGGAGCAGCCAGGGCAAAGCCCCAGGCGGACACTGAGGTGGGCCAAGTGGATGGAAGAGAGGTGTGAGGTGAGGTAGGAGAGGGGACAGCTGACCTGGGCTGGTGGCGGGGGGTGGGGGTGGGTGGGAGTGGTGGTGGTGGTGGGCACAATGAGGACCTGGGGGAGGGAGCCACAGGAGGGTGCTGAGCAGGAGGGGAGGTGAGCTGATGCAGGCATTCCAGGTGCCCTCTGGCTGTGTGCGGGAACCAACACTGGGGTGGAGGTGGGGAGACAGTGTGGAGACCCAGGGGGGCTGTGGAGAGACAAGCAGGCGGGTCCTGGAGCTCCTCCAGAGACAGGGCAGATGTGTGAGACAGAGGGGGACCTGGAGGGTCTCTGGTCTGGGCACAGCAGGATGGAGCTGGCGCTAACTGAGATGGGGAGACAAGGGACAGGGTCAGAAGTCTGTTTCCCACTGGGAGCTGGTGGGGGTGGTGGCTCTCCACCTGAGCTCGGGGTTGAGGAGAGAGCCAGGGTGCTGGGTAAACCTGGACAGCTGGGGGTGGACAGGAGAGCAGGTGGATCAGGTCTAACACCTGGGTAGAGGAAGTGGCCCAGTGTGTGGGGAGTGACAGCTCAAACCCTGCATCAACAGCTATATCAGGCGTGGGCCCTAGGCCTCAGCTCACTGCTCCAAGGGGAGGGGATACAGAATGGCAGTGAGGTGCAGAGAGGTCAGGAGGAGCCTCGGCTGGGAAAGGTCAGGTCTGGCTGTGAACCAGGCCTGTCATGACCCCGTTTGGGGAAATTGAGGCTGACGGCGAGAAGCCACCCTGCCTGAGGTCACACTTGCTGGCGGTGCCAGGGGGATTTGTACTTGTGGCCTGAGGCTGACCTTGCTCTAAGTCCAAGGCCACAGGGCTTTGGGGTCTGGGAGGTGCACGTTATTACGGTCTTATCCCTGCTCGCTAGACTGAGGCACAAACATGCCTCAGGACAGACTGAAGAGTGTGATCCCAATGACACACTATTAACAAGAATACCCAAGAGCTACTTGTCTTTCAGTGCTCACACCTGCTAGGTACTGTGCTAGCACATTCCATGCACTGACCGGCTAGAGTCCCATGTTAACCCCATGAGGTGGGCGCTATTTTGGCCCTCATTTGTAGTCCAAAGAAACAAGGCAGAGAGGTTAGTGGACTCAGGCCATGCAGCTCTTGGGGTGCATGGGGCTAGGAAGCACTCGCCGAGTGACTGAACGCTCAGGGGAATGAAGTGGGGAGGGGACCGAGTCCTTGACCTTTGTTCCTCAGCTCCAGCCTGCAGAGCTGGTGGCGGCTATGGGAGCAGCTGTCACTGCCTAGCAAGCTCGCTGGGGCACTGCAGAGAGTCTCCTCGGCATGGAGGGCCCTTCATTAGCAAGGCCAAACCCAGGACTCTCCAGCCTGGAGGCAAGCTGGGAAGGGCTCTTGAGCAGGCCCTGGGGAGCTGGAAGTCCTAGAGTCTCTGTCCATGCTGAGGTAAGATGGGATTCTCCCTGGCTTTGGGGCCTGGGGGAGTCAGATGGGCAGAGAACGGTGCTGTGTGTGTTCTGTGAGATCCAGGGTCCTGGTCTGGAGGTCACCAAAGTGGCTGACATCCCCTGGTCCTGCTCTTAGGGAGCCCCCGGTTCAGCAGGGGAAATGGACATTGCCACAAAGTGACAGCCCAGAGGGTATGGGGCTGTGATGGGCAAACATAAGGGAGCAGGGACAGGATGGGAGATGTCCCTGAGATAGCTCAGCTTGGTCAGGGAGGGAGGACTTCCTGGAGGAGGCGCTATTAAATTGAGACTGAAAGGATAAGGCCCAGCTAGTCAGAGGCATTCAGATCCATCTTGTCTGTGTTCTCCGTGCAAAACGGCTCTGCCTAGTCCCTCTCCCGTCCTCCTCGCTGCGTGCTCAATGCCTGCTACGTGCAGGTCTACAGATAGGGCAGTAAGGATGAGGGGTGAAGGGAGGAGGCAGAGGGAAGTCCAGGGAGGTTCTAGGAATTCCCACTAATACACGGCCGCCAGGGCGGGGTGCTCTGTGGTGTGCTATGGCCTCACACCAGCACCCAGAATTTTTTGATGGGGGCTGTGTGCCCCCTTCCTGAGTGCTCAGCAAATATCTGCTGGATGAATAAAGGGATGGGTAAGCTACCCCACCCTGCAAGAGTAGGCAGACTGGGGAGCATCAGGCAAGCAACAACCCCCATGAGGTAATCCGCTGGGTGCTGAACAGGTGGGGGGAAGGGCTCCGGGAAGCAGTCAGGGCAAAGCTGGGTCCTCAGGCTCTGGTGATGGGCTCTCCTGCTTGCACCTGGAGAGGCTGATGTCTTCTTCCTGGTCTCAGATGACCCCAATCCAAGGTGCCCCTGACTCTGGGTGACCCCCAGGTGCTCGGCTAACCACCTCTTGCCATGATGCTCATGTGGATCCCAGTTCCCGCCCTCAGCTGACTGGCCTTTGACCAGGTGACCCCAGCGCAGCCCTCCCAACGCCCCCACCAGCCCCAGGAGCCAGACTCACATTTCTTCTCTGGGAAGCCATTGCCGGTGGCAGGGATGGTGCTGGGGCCCCCGCCGGGTGGGTGGGGGTGCTGGTGCTGGCGGCGGGCGGGCAGCGTGCTGGAGGGGAAGGCGCAGGTACTGGTGAAGAGCACGTCGCTGGGCAGGCCCGGCTCCAGGCCGGCAGGGTTGGCGAAGCCGGGCTCCCGGCGCCCGCTGCAAAGACTCTCGTCCGACAGCGTCCGCTGCAGGCTCTTTTGTGGCGACTGCTGCTGAGACAGGGGTGGACAGAGGGCGCAGTCACGGCCTGGCCCTGGCACAGGCCCTCAGAGGCAGCTTCCCGTCCTGGGCATCTGTAGCTCTTACCCACCTGGCATTCTTTTCTGCCCCTTTCTGGCCAAAGCGCCCCAGTTTTCCCCTGGGGATTCCTCCTCTCTGCTTACTGCTGACCTGGTTCTGGAAGCCAACCCCACCCACCTGTTCCAGGGAAGGTGGTGTGACCCAAGCCGGACCAATGGGGGCCAGTCAAGGAGGGGGCCACTGAGGACAGAGCGTTCTCTCCCCACAGGGCTGCGGGCTGGAGGGCAGAACCACGAGAGAATGGGGTCACTGAGCCCCCACAGGGATGCCTGCCTGAGTGCGGGCTGGACGGAGCGGAGGGAGGCAGAGGTGCAGAGGCATTGAGAGCCCTGCTGCTCCTGCCGCTCCCACCCTCGGGGCCCAAGAGCAGCCTCTCCCCTGGACGCCTCCCACACTCTTGGCCCTCAGCCAGTGTGGGGTGTGTGTGTGTGTGTGGGGGCTGCTTCCATCCTGGGCCCCAGAAGAAGGCCGACGAGGGCGGCATGCTCCAGTCACAGGAGGAACGTGGTGCAGGTTCACACCCACAGGCCCCGGCTGCTCTACAAGGTGACTCTGAAGCCCGGCCTCCGTCCTGCCCCCTGGAGCCCCGGGGCGGGTACGAACTCCTACCTCTCGCTCCTGCTCCGGCGTCAGGTTGTCCATGATGATGAGTTTCTTCAGGTCGTCCTCGATGGTGGACTTGTAGTTCTTCCGCGGGGAGCGGAGGTCCCGGAGGGAGGCCCTCAACCGAGGCTGTCCAAAGACGTTTTTCGTGTTGGTGTCCACCTGCCTGGAAAAGGAGGGTCAGTGTCACGGGGGTCTCGGGAGGTTAAAGTCACACATTCTCCAGGTGAGGAAGACTTGGTTTGTTCATTCCATTCCTTCATTCCGCCAATTTTTCGGGGAGACTACTCTGTGCCAGACCTGCTGAAGGTGCTTGGGATATAGCAGTAAACAGGGAGACTGACAGTGAAGGGATGAACAGAAAGGGAACCCCCACAAGTAAAGTCCAGTGAGTGTCACAGAAGAGCTCACATGCCAGGCGGGGGGGACCAAGGGCCAGGTGCCTGCCTCCAGAACAGGGGTACAGAGCCCCATCTCCACCCCCAGTTTTCCAGTGGGATTCCCACCCTAGGAGCCTGTCTGTGACTCTGGGTCACCCCCATCACCACCTTCCTTCTCAGCATTCTAGAGCCCAGGCTGTCCTGCCTTCTAGAAGTCCCTGTGGTCTTACAGTCCTTGAGGCAGAGCCTGGAGCTAAGCAGAAGCCGGAAGCAGCAGGCCTGGGTCTGACCCCGGCGGGCTGTTCCCTGCGCTGGGACCTGGGTGGGAGTACCACCCTCACCCTCATCTCACTCCCTAGGAGACAGGCTCACTTCACAGGGAGGATGGGCGGCGGCCAGGTACTTGCTGGGCCATTGTGGAAGGACACTCGGGCAAGGAGGGCTGCTCCCATGGCCGTCTGCCCGGGGCTGAGGGTGCCCGAGGCTGCTCACACCTCCCGCCGCCCCTTACCCTCTGCAGGCTGCTACTCCACCCCGGCTCTCTACTGGGGCTCTGCATCCTCAAGCCTGGAATTACCAAGGCTTCCTCTTGCCTTCCGATCATGGCCCAACCTTTGGGCTTAGTTCTTATATTCTCAGTGAAAATGAGGGTCTCTGATGAGCTGTCACCTGCCTCCCCCCGCCTCCCCACATACCATCAGCCAACAAGGCAGCCCTCATGGGCACCAGGCACTATCTACACAGCAGCCCTCCCTGGGGGCCAGGGTTACCATCACCCCAACTGCACAGGAGGGAAACCGAGGCATGGACGGCTCAGGCGAGTGTAAGACACTTGTCCAAAATCACACAGCCCGTGAGTGGAAGAGCCGGGACTCCGGCCAAGGCCACCCGGCTGCAGAGCCCGGAGGCGGTGGCGCGGTGCAACTGCCACGCTCCCCTCACAGAGATGGCACCAAGAACGATGCGCAGCTTGTGGAACATAATCCACTTGGCTAAAAAAATATACTCTTATATGCAGAAAAAAATTTCTGGAAGAAATTATGAATAATGATTACCTCCGGGAAGTAGGAGTCGTATTAAACAAGGAGCTGGAAAAAAGGGACTTTTGCTTTTCATCTGATCCGCTTCTGAACCATCTGAATTTATTTTACCATAACCATGTGTTATAACAATCATCAGAATAAAAACTAGTTTAAAAAACCCTATACCTAGTCTCAGCATTTGGTGACTAGGAAAAAAGTCTCTGAGCCCACAGAGAAATCAGTGCCTTGGGTTTCTGAGGGTTTTGAAGTCTACATTTTTTTTATTTTCTCAGCTGCCAGCTTTGGGATTTCAACAAAGGCAGGAAGAGAGGGTGGCAACTTTTTTCTTGTCAGGTCATATTCCTCCCCAAATAGGATTCCAGGTCTTGGGCAATTCTGGCTCTGTTGCTATCAGGGAACGTTCATGAAAAGCTTTAGATCCAGGGGCCTCCCTGGTGGCACAAGGGGTTGAGCACTGCACTGTGAAGCAATCTGCAGCCTCGGCAGCACAAGATCGATCCCTGGCCAGCCAGGGAGTTGCCCACATGGTGCAGCAGACCTCCTGACTTGCCCGCTGCTCCCCTCAGCAGTATACTTCGGTCAGTCTGCCTGTTCTGTTCCCCACTCTGTCTCTGGTGAATCCTCTCACCTCCCCATCTCTGGCCTGTACCCCAGCTCTTGTATGCATAAAGAAATCTTAAAAAAAAAATTCTAAAGGAAAATAGAATGTTTAAAAAACAAAAAAGCTTTAGATCCAAAAGAGAGAGACAAAGAGAAAAAGAGCCCCCCTCCCCCAAAGACTAGAAGGGGGAAGGACTTACCTCTTCCCACCACCCCTCTAATTTCGCCACTTCCCAGGGTCCCCTGCACAGGAGGGTGCCTGGCCCAGAGCAGGACCCCCGAGGGCCACCTCCCCTGGGGAGGAGCCAGATGGGGCCTGCAGCAGGTCTGCCTCAAGAAAGGGGCTTCTCCACAGGCTCTCCTCAGGGAGGGGTGGAGAAGGACCTGCTGAAAACGTTAAAACATACACTCCCTGTGCCCTCAGAGTTTTACTTCTTGATGCATGTCCTTAGAAAGGCCTGCATGACCCTGGGTGCAGCAAGAACCAGGCTGCTTCACGGGGCCCGGCTGTGGAGCAGAAACTGGAGTGGCCAGGAGGAAAGGGTGAGGCCCCCCAGGGACAGACCACGGCCCCGCATAACAACAGCCTGTAGCCCTGACCCACACAACACAGACAGGGGCTCTCCCAGATATGACACGGGCACCAAGAATTGGTATGTATGGTGTGAAGTCATCTTCAGACAACAAAACTCAACACGGCTTAGCTCGGCCCACTGAAGCTCACCAAACTCTTGTCTCACATGGTGGACATGTGGGGGATTCGCTTTCTAAAAAGCTGGTTTGCCACAGCCCACAAGGTCCCACACCCTCTGCCCTGGCCCTGCTCTGTCCCTCTCTCCTCCCACACAGGCCTCCTGAGGTTCCTTAAACACACCACACATGGCCTTGCCTCAGGGCCTTTGCACTGGCTGTGCCAGCTGCCTAGAGTGCCCAGACCAGCATTCTCTGTGGCTGGCAGCTTCTCATCCTTTTGGCTTAGCTCAAATGAGACCTCCTCAGAGAGGCTCCCTCCCAGCCCAGGCACTCTGGCTCTCGCAGTCCTGCACTGCCTCTCCCCTGCACTCACCTCAGGATGGTCTGTGGTTTGTGCTTGAGCCTTCGGGGCCCACTCTTCCCACCTCACCTGCAGCTTCCTCTATCCTACATCAGTGTTGGGAACAGGCCTTGCCACACTCGCAAGTGATATTAAATATGTATCACACAGAACCCACCTTCCCCCTCCTCCTCCCATGACAAGCGAAAATGACTTTTATAAAATAGAAAGTACAGAGATGCATTTAAAAGTCAAAAGAGGGCAAGTATTCCTTCCCTGCTCTGTTTAACTAGTAATCATTTGCTAACGTCACCTTCCCAGTCCCCAGGAAGTCCCGGGCCTCCAGGACTCTAGAGGGTTTTCCTAATTACTCTAAGCACAAGGCTCCAGAAGAAATCATGCTAGAACCTTCTCCCCTGACCCTCACCTCTGCACCCATCTCGTCTCCGCGGGTTCTACTGCCTGACACTACTAGTGACAGGGCTGAAGGGATAAAGTGTGACGGAATTCAGTTTGGAGAGTCAAACTGATCACTTCTCTGGAAGATTTTTCCAGTGTATTTTCTGTACCGCAAATTATAAGCAAAACTTTCAAATGGTGTAAATTCTGGTTTGAAATTCGAAACTGAACAGAAGAAACTGAGCCTTCGCATTGCTGACCCTGTTCCTTTATCTCAAGCTCTTGGTCTCCATAACTGTCAAAACCTTATGACCTCTGAAGGCAGAATGGACACTCTCTGCTGAAAAGAATGAGGTCGCCAAGGCACCTGATGAGAAAAGAAGAAAGAAAGCAGAGGCAGGCGGTGTCCCCACTGCTAAGTAGGAAGGGGGGATTGGGAGGGATGCGTACCCAGCACACGTGCTCAGTCATGTTTGGAACATTCTGGAAGGATGCAGAAGTCAAACAGCGGTTGCTTCTGGGGAGGGGAGCTGTGAGGCTTGGGGCCTGGGAGTAGAGAGAGGCTTCGCTTTCACAGCAAACTCTTTCTGCAGTAGTTTGGCTTATGTTCCTTTCTACCTTATAAATCACAAATAAAGACCGTCCAGAAGGATGAGCCCTTTTTTCAAGATTCTGGCCATGGGCGCTGGGCAGAATTTCCGATTTGCCCATGTTATCGAACTGGGTTTTGCCATGTTGTGGAATGAAGCCACTTGTATCGGAAAAGAGCAGAGGCAGGAGGGAACCACAAAGGCGGCGCTGCAGCGAGGCTGGCTGCTTGGCTTGCCTGGGCCACGGAGGGCCGGGAGTGGAAGACGACCAGTGGCTCCGACTTGGCTGAGGCTAGTCCCAGCTGACTGCGGGCTCTGGCCTCCAACTGGGGCGGCTCCCTTGGGCCTGGTTAATTAAGCTAATTAGCACCACAGTTGGCGGCCTGAGCCGGGGGCCCTGCCAGTGAGGCTGGCGAGGACACTCAGCCGGGCTGGGCTGCGCAGCCTGCAGATTTCACTGGGAGGGCGGCTGGAGGAGGCCTGTGGGAGGGAAGCAGCCCTGCTCTGAGGTGGGAAGTCGGGGAGAGGCCTTCCCCTGCTCCTCTGCGGTTGCAGCCAGCTGGACCCCGGGAGGGACCCAGACCCGGGGATGGGAGCGCCCGAATCCCAGAGGCCAACCACCGGAGGCCAGCACCCATCAGCTCAGCTGACGAGGCCTGGCACTTCAATGGGCTCAGTGACTCCTCGTGGCACCCCTGGTGTGAGGGCTCTCGAGCTGTTCCCTCTTGATGGGGAAAGCGAGGCACAGACTGCATGAGGTCGCTCAGAACGACGCCTGCCTGATGCTCGGGGCCGCCCTGTGTCTTGCTCAAGATGGCAAAGTCGGAGCTCCTGGTGGCGCAGGTGTGCATGCTAGGGCTGGCGCATCTCCCAGGTGGCTGCACTTGCCCTGGGACTGTGACCATGGCTGGCAGGCGCTAACATCACTGTCACGTGGGAGAGAGCAGCGATGCTCTGGGAGGTTCTGGCACGGGTGATGGCGGAGCCGGGATGTGAATGGAAGTGGTCTGACTGCCATACTGACACCCACAGCTCACCTGAGGGCCCAACTCCCTTCCTAGGCCCCTGGCTGCCCCTCATCTCATGCCCTCCATCAGCCAGGGCTGCCCCCCACCATGGATGGGGACACTCAGGGTCTGGGGCTTTGGTGTGATGGGGGCTTGCCCTCCCCTCATTGCTCCATAGTGACAGCCACACCACCAGACTGGTCCCTTGGGCCTGCGTCCTCCTTGCCAGGCCCCGGGGCCAGTGCACATCACAACAACCCTATGTGGTAAGATTTCGGTGGCGTTGAATATAGCCATTCTCTGGCTGGGCCACTCTCTGGCTGAGCCTAGTCGGGAGGCCTCAGGGTGGCTGAGGAGCCACTGGCCTACAACTGGTAAAGTAACTTAGCAAAGATTTGGTGACTGCTCCTGGGGGATGAGCTCCCTGTATGTGGTGACCCTGAGGGGCCTGGCAAGCCAACATCTTTTCCATGGTTAACCTTAACTGAGTGCGTCTGTACAGGTGACTTAACCTCAGTTTTTCTCTTCTGTGAAGTGGGTGTAAAGGTAGGACACCTCATTGTTCCTTAGTGAGGACTAAATGAGTTAATGCAGGTGAAGGGCTTACAACAGGGCTTAGCAAGTAGATATCAGGAGACGTTTTCTGGAGAACTGGGTTAGGTGATTCAATAGCATCTCCAACAATGAAAAGACCGATCTCCAAAGTGCTCAGGAGAGCTGGAATGAGACAACTTTGTGAAATGGGAGATGGGGACAGAAGCAATAATCTAAATTGACTATTGTCTCATGCATGTGATTTTAAAAATGAACTGGAGTGGGGGGTGGGGAGCAAAGTGGGGACTTCGGGTGCTGGGAAGGGGTGGGGTGGGGTGACATGCACCTGAGCCTCCTATGCCTCTGAACCACATATAGTGCTGCCAACCAACGTTACCTTAACTAAAGAAAACCATCTGTAATAAAATAAGGTACTATGAAATAATTCTGTGTTGCTAAATATTTTATGTAGTGCATTTAGTTTACACATGTTCACACACACGATAAAGAGCCTTCTTTGGATTGTGTCATTAGGAAAAAGGGTTGTCACAAATCCAGCTACGTTTTCTGAGCACCTACTATGAGCTGGGCCCTGGGTGACTCTGTTGTCCTGTCCCAGAACACTCAGTCCAGCGGGTACAACAGAGAGGAGGAAGTAGCGAGGACAGGGCCACGTCCCAGGACAGCTGCCATCCAAGGCAAAGGAGCACAGGAAAGAAGCCAGTGGGGGGGAAGTGGGGTTGGCAGGGATGAGCCGGGTTGGAGGTGGGAGGCTTCTCAAAAGAAGTATGGCTGTACTGAGAACTGAGGGTTGGGGCTGTGGGTTCAAAGGTATCCCCCAACCTCTAACTAAAAGATATCGAAGCCCTAACCCCGAGAATTTTAGACTGTGACCTCATTTGAAAACAGGTTTACTGAGGTAATAAAGTCAAATGAGGCAACTGGGGTGGACCTTAAGCCAATAAGATATGTGAAGGGGGGTCTCCCCTGGTGGAGCAGCTGTTGAGCGCTGGGCTGCGAGGCTGCCCGCAGCCTCTGCAGTGCCAGTTCGTTCCCCGGCCGCTGGCGAGGGTCCCACAAAAAAAAAAAAAAAAAAAAAAGATATACGAAGGGGAGGTGGCCAGAGGTAGGCACGTGTGAAGGAAAGGCAGAGATGGGGGTGCGCAGCCTTTCTGCTGGGTGCCAGCAAATCACCAGCTCAGATTCTCTTTACGGCCCTAACAAGGAACCAGCCCTGCCTCACCTAGATACTGGACTTCTAACCTTCCAGAACTATGAGACAATACATGTCACAGTTTGTGGTTCTTTGTTATGGTGGCCCCAATGAACCATACAGGTGTGTGTGTGGGGCCCAGGCAGAGGGGCAGGGGTTGGGGCTGCCCACAAGGGGTCTGGGCAGGAGTTTAGACAAAGCACAAGATCCTCCAGGGCCAGGGACAAGGGAAGTGCTCAGTAAACGTGAATGTACGAGATGCGGCATCGTCTTCTAGTTAGTTTGCTTTTCCTTTTGCTCCACATCAGCCTGCCGGCAAGCTCTGACCCTCTCCGGACACTTCATCCAGAAGGCAGGCCCTTCCTCCCTCCTTGGCCTCCACCCACTCCAGCCCATTGTCCCCTGCCGGCAGCTCCATCCTGGTCTCCCTGCTCCTCGCAGGCTGTGCCCCACACAGAGCCCCGGGGGGGGGCACTGCGGATCTGGATCTCATCCTGTGCTCGACCCCATCCCATAGCTCCACCTCACCGAGGTAGCGGCTCCCAGAGCATCCCTCTGACTCCACGGCCTCTCTGACGTGGGCTTGCACTGGGCCAGCCACAGACCAAGCACGCACCTGCCTCAGGGTCCCTGCAGCTGCTATTCCCTCTGCCTGGAAAACTCCTCATCCAGGTACCGCATGATGCCAGCCATTGTGTGACCTGCAGCCTTTTTTTTTTTTCTTAGTTACCCTATTTATTTAGCCCCTAATCTGGAATGTGAGCTCCCCAAGGGCGGGGGTCTCTGTCCTCCTGTTCACAGCTGGACTCCCAGGTCCTGTTGAATGAGTGGGGTGTTGCCCTCCTCCCTGCCCCAGAGCCCCCTGGTGCAGCACACTGGGGGTCCAGGCACTTACTTCTTTGGGTCAGTGAAGGGGAGTGGCCGTGGCGGGGGCTCCTCCGTTCTCTTCCACCCTGTCGGGTGCTTATTGCGCACGGGCTGCTTGGAGAAGAAGGACTTGGGGACGGAGGTGGACAGCTGGAAGGGGCTGGGCTGGGCCAGCTGTGAGGGCCGAGGGGTCTCTGAGCTGGCTGTTTTGTAAACCTGAGCGGGGTAGCCAGCCCTTGAGCTCATGTCACTGCAAAGTGAAAACCAAAGAAATAAACAATCAAATCCATCCCACATTTTGCAAAACCAACCTGGTTAAATTCACTCTCGGGAAACAAAAAAGTTCATTCACACAAGCACCTAATACATCACTGCTGTGGAAAATTCCAGTGCCCAACATCTATACGGAGACAAGGTGATAGGTGCCTGTAGCGCCACCGACCATACACCAGGAATGCCCGGCCAGCACATTTGGTGCCTCAGTGGGAATCCAAAAAGCCATCCCTGGTGAGTGGATGTGCCCCACTAGACGGCCCCTGTTCCCTGGGCACGAATCACAGGGCTGAAGATGGGCCTGCCTGCCTGACTCTGGAGATGACCACAGTTGGCAGTTTGCTGTTTCCTCTTAACTCTTTCCTTTGCCTTCAAAACATGCACCAATAGGACCAAAAAAAAAAAAACCAAAACCAAAAAACAAAACAAAACAGGGCCTCTGGGTGGGGGAGAACTATGTTTTATGTAATGGGGATCACGTCATACGCTGTTTCGTACTTAGGACTTTTTTTTTAAATCTAGAATATCCTGCCACATGGGCCTCCCCGGTGGCGCAGCGGTTGAGCGCTGGGTTGCGAAGCTGCCCGCAGCCTCTGCGGCGCCGGTTCAATCCCCGGCTGCTCCCCGGCCACCAGAGGAGGGTCCCACATGGCGCGCAGACCTCTCCTGCCGCCCGCTGCTCCCCTCAGCAGTGTACTTCGGTCCTTCTGCCTGCTCTGCTCCCCGCTCTGGCTCTGGTGAATTCTCTCACCCTCCCGCGTGCTTCTGACTGTACCCAGTGCATGTATAAACAAAACAAACAAACCAGCAAACAAATAAATAAAGCATGCCTCTATAAAAAAAAAAAAAAAAAAAAAAGTTATTTTTAGAATATCCTGCCACAGAGCCTCTTCAAGTAGCTCTTGAAGACCTGCCACACATCAGACGCTACTCCAGCTGGTCCAGTCTACGTGCACAGCTCGAAGCCCCAAATGCTGGCATCAAGGCTACCACAAGCCACATGCTGTCAACTAGGCCCAACTTATGGGGACCCCCACTGCAGTCACCATCGAGGCTAATCAACTTTTCACAGTCCTTAATACAATTCCATTTCACATCGGTGTCCTTGAATGAAATCTCTGTTGAAGGTTAATTTACCAATATTAAGGGATGGGACTTTATGTTACTTGGCAGATGAAGAGGTTGGTAAATCCTCTCTCCAAAAGTGCAAAATTGAGAGGCGCAAGTATGTCAGCATGCTGCAAACTGACCGAGGCATACAACCCATGACAGAGGCATACAACCCATACATGTGCGTGAAAAACAGCTGAACCCCAGAGGAGAGCGGGGGGAATCTGTGTCTTTGGGGTTCCTCTACCCTCCTGCCCAGTTCAATGAACATGGGGGGTTCTACCATGGCAGAACCTTCACAACAGAACCAAGCATACAACGATGCATGAGTTTCAGAAGAGAAAGAGGGAGAAGAAAATTTGAAGAGGCAATGGCTAAAAACTCCCCAAATTTTGTGAAAAACGTCCAAGCCCGATAGATCCCAGGCAAGACAAATACAAAGACACTCATCCTTAGGAAAACAGGCGAAAGTCAAACACTAAAATCAGAATCTTGAGGGCCTCTCCTGGTGGCACAGGTGGTTGAGCGCTGCGCTGTGAAGCTGTCCGCAGCCTCTGCAGTGCCGGTTCAATCCCGGCCTGCCGACAAGGGTCCCACATGGCGAAGCAGACCTCTCCTGCCGCCCGCTGCTCCTGCCGCCCGCTGCTCCCCTGCCGCCCGCTGCCGTCTCCTGCTGCCCGCTGCTCCCCTCAGCAGTGTATTTCATCAGTCTGCCTGTTCTGTTCCCCACTCTGTCTCTGGTGAATCCTCTTACCCTCCCATGCATCTGGCCTGTACCCCAGTTCTTGTATAAATACATAAAATAAATCATTAAAAAAAAATCAGAATCTTGAGAGTATCAAGAGCCGGCTGTGTGGACCCAGGAAGAAGTGCTGACACCTGCCTAGCAGTGGGGTGGAAGGGCCTTTTCAGAGTGCCAGGAGGAGATTTCTGTCAATGGGCCTCTGGGGGTTCAGGGCCTCTAAGGCTTCTTACGCCTCTAAGCTGCAGGGAGTGGGAATAGGCACAGTGCTATAACAAACAAACAAACAAAAAGCAGAGTGTATACTTAGTAGGCTTTTCCCTTGGTTTTGTTTTTTATTCCAAAAAGGAAATGGAGTTTTTTTTCCCTAACCATGGGTCATGGGAACAATTTTGTGGGTCTTCACCATTACTAAGGGGAAAAAAAAAAAAGAAACAGCGTCAGGTAAGAAATGTCAGCCAGCGTACTGCGTATGAGTAAGAGCAATTGGCGTTGAGCAAGTGCCTTCCAGGTGGCCACGCTGGGAAGGAAAGTAAAACTGTTTTGGGTGGAGAGCAAAAATGTTCGAATGAACCGGACTGGTACCAGCCTGGAGAAAAATCTCTTGGGGAGTGTACCTTAGCTGTAATCTCTAGGGCTGGTAAACATGGGGAACGTGGACAGAATCAAAGTTTCAAAAACTCAACCATATAAATGGTATAGGTAAGAAGTGCACCTGACACCTGTCTCCTTCCTCCAGGCACCCCTGGGCTTCCCCTCGCTTCTTCAACAGAGTCTATGCTCACGTAGGGTGCGGCCCCACCCACTTCTCTGAGAAATCAGCCACAGTGTGTTCTCAGCAAGCTGTGACTTTAAGGGTAGCGTTCTGGAGAGCTCTCCACGTCAGCCCCTCTGGTTGTCCCCTCTTCCACAGCTGTGGAGGGTCTACGCTGTGAATAGATCCTGATTGATTTTAACCCCAACTTTTACTTTCTATTCTCTACCTTGTCTAACTTTTCCAGCCTTTTTGTGAGCTGAGAAATCAAGATGATTACCAAAAAAGAGGCCAGGGGAGAAGATGGAGATGCCGTTTGTCTGCCAGGCAGCTCCACCCGCTGCCTCTTTCAAGATGGGTCCCCATGGATGACACTGTGGGTGCCATCCTGGTCCCCCATCCCAGTCCTGTAAATGAAGGTTGCTTTAGCCATCCCTGTGTGAGGAAGGGGGCCTGACACCCAGCCCAGAGGGGTGTTTCCTGAGGGGTCAGCACCACTTGTCTGGGGAGGGGGTACAGGTCCTCCCACCTATTTCTGGTGGGTGAGACATGGGGCGTGTGTCTTTTGGCTGACTTCTGGGGAAGCTTTCTTTGCTGGAAAACAAGCAAAAACCACTTGCAGAAAACACTACCTCTTCTTCCCCTGGACACCGTGTCTGGTGCAGTGACAGCCCCTGTGAGACCGTGAGGGGAGCTGGTCTATAGTTTGACGGAGGGGGGCGGGGGGCGGGCAGAGAGGAAAGGAGAAGAAGCTGGGTCCCTGAGTTAATAAATTATCCCAACCCTGGGCCCTCCCCAGCTCGGGACTTCATGTTCCGTGAGAGAAGAGAGTTCTTGCAGATGCGCTGAGATTTTCTGTTATTTATAGCCGCGGGCATGTCCCTCCGCCTCTACAAGTCTCAGATGGTACCTGGTGCCTCAACAAAGAACTAGGCCCTTGAGCCCACAGAGGGGGCGCCCCTCACCCCATTCCACGACCATGAGCTGTGCCCGATATCATGGCCAGTGTGGGGCTCTGGCCCTGCCAGGCAATCACAGAACGGACACACCTTTCCGAAGCCCCGGCGCAGCCGGGTGTCTTCCGCAGGCCTCAGCTTTGACTTGATACCCGAGGCAGCACTGGGAGAACACAGGCAGCTTGGGTTCCAGTCCCAGTTCCAACAAGCACACTGCGAGTCCCGGGCCTCAGCTTACTCCTCTGAGAAATGAGGCTACAGCAGCGCCAGTGTCATAGGAGCAGAGGGGCCCAGCCCGCCCGGGAATGTGCCCCTGAGGGGCAGCTATGGAGGGATGGGGTGTGTCAGGGCTCAGCCAGGGCTGGGGTGTAGGCATCCTGCACCACACTCCACCCTTCGCTCACCCCGAGGCTATGCGTTTATCTGTGCTCTATCTTGGGGAGGACTTAAGGTTTTGTTGGAGTAAAAAAGCTGAAAGTTTCTCAGGCTGATGGAGAGTCCACAGCTGCACAGGCGGTTTAGCTGGGGCGACAGGCCCCTCAGGAGGAAGGGAGGTGGCCGGCCAGTGGCGCGCAGCGTTAATTATCTTACAGGCGCTGCTTCACTTAGTTGCTCTAGCAACACAATGACACGGGGAACTACCACCAGGACATGTTTCAAGTGGGGAAAGTAAGGCCCAGAGCAACCAAAGGGAGAGAGCCAAGAAGCAAACCCAGGTAATCTGACTCAAGAGATGCCACATTTAGCCACCAGCCTGTCCTTTCAATGACAACAGCAGTCACAATACACAGTAAGTGAAAATGAAGGCGAGCAGTTGCTGTTTTTGGGCCAGCCATGCCACGGGCCCCATGTTAAGCATTTTAAATGCAAGAGAGGGTTCTTCCTCACAGCCTTAGACCACAGATGCTATGACCCCCATGTCATGGCTGAGGAAACTGAGCCTCAAAAATACTCAGGGGTTTGGGGTTAAGATGCCAGGGGGTTAAGATGCAACCTATGAAGCTATCCACAGCCACTGCAGCACAAGTTCGATCCCCAGCTAGGGAGCTACCCACTTGGTGTAGCAGATCTCTCCTGACTCGCCTGCTGCTCCCCTCAACAGTGTATTTCAGTCCGTCTGCCTGTTCTGCTCCCTGCTCTGTCTCTGGTGAATCCTCTCACCCCCCGCACCTCTGGCCTGTACCCCAGTTCTGTGTGCATAAATGCTCAGGGCCTGACAGAGATTACACAGTTGGTGGCGGTAGGGCTGTGAGCTGGATGCAGGCGGTCAGAGGCCAGAACTTGGGAAAGCCTGCTCACCCAGAGACTCCCAGGTGGGCCCACTGCACTTGGCCTTGACTGTGGGTCCAATCTCCCCCTCTCCCCTGGTGTCCGCCACGGGATTGAGTGTGGAGTCAGTCCCCGCCCATGGCTGG